ATGAACCATTGCTTATTTATGTTATTATAATTTAATCTTACACTATCTGACATCTCCCTTCACCCACTCTTCTGTTGTCCATCCCCCAGGGAGGAGGTTATATGTAGATCATCATAATCGGTTCCCCCTTTCTACCCCACCTTTGCTGCACCCTCCTGGTATTGCTACTCTCACCACTGGTCGTGAGGGTATCATCCATCCTGGATTCCTTGTGTTTCCAGTTCCTATCTGTACCAGTGTACATCCTCTGGTCTAGCCGGATTTGTAAGGTAGAATTGGGATCATGATAGTGGGGGGAGGAAGCAATTAAGAATTAGAGGAAAGTTGTATGTTTCATCAGTGCTACACTGCACCCTGACTGGCTCGTCTCCTCTCCATGACTCATCTGTAAGGGGATGTCCAGTTGCCCACAAATGGCCTTTGGTTCCCCACTCTGTACTCCCCCTCATTCACAATGATGTGATTTTTGTTCCTTGATGCCTGATACCTGATCCCTTCGACATTTCGTGGCCACACAGGCTGGTGTGCTTTTTCTATGTGGGCTTTGATGCTTCTGTGCTAGATGACTTCTTGTTTACCTTCAAGCCTTTAAGACCCCAGATACTTTATAGGGGCAGTACTGGATTAGTAATTACCTAGGTGCATGGCAAGGGAGGTTGGGGGCAAATAAAAACCTAACAATGAGTACAAGAAAGAAGAAAATGTTCTGAATTTATTTGTAGTGATGATTGCACAACCCTTCTTAAAATGATTGAACTATTAAATTATAGGATATGAGAATTATATGCCACTAAAACTATTAAATAAACTCTTTAGACACTTTCAATGATTAGAGAAAGAATTAGAAAGCTTCAGAAAACATCGAGGAAAGCACACAGAACAAGTGGGGCATTCACAAAAATACTACAAGAACAAAGTGACAAAACAAATGAAAAATTGGAAACCATACAAAACTGGAAAGAGAAATCTAGGATATTATTACTAAGATTTCAGAAAACAGATAATGCAGCGAAAGGTCCAAGGAGTAGAGCTGATTTAGTTTGTGTTGTGCGTGTGTGTGTGTGCCATGTTTCATAATCAGAAAATTCATTAATGACACCTAAATGTAGGTCACCAAGTGACTTTGCTTTTCATGTAATGACATTTTTAGCTACTTAATAAGGCGAAGAAGAAAAAAACCTTATAGTAGCTAATGTAGGATTCCTTTTCTCTGATTCTCTGATTTAGAATACCAGCTCTTCCATCACTGGACGAGTTGAGCTCCTGACATGCTCCAGTATTTGAAGAAAATTTATTTTATTTTCAATGATAAACAAAATCAGACTCTTTTCCGAGGGTTTGTATGAATACGAAGCCCATGGGGAGGAAGTCAACTCAGTTTCTTGAGATGGGAATTACTGCCAGCACTATTTCTGCGGAAGCTGCACCAAAATGTGTTCATAAAACATTATTTTCCCTATTGAAATGTCTAAATAACCCAAAGGAAATCTAAAATAATGACAATCAAGTAAGATAAAATCTGTCTTTTTTAATTATACTTACCATTGTAGAAACTAGATCACATTTTCCTCTATAAAATAAAATTACCTTCAAGAATTATTTATACATTTACCAATATATCCAAGATATATTAGGGAGATGTCATTTATTATACTATAATTTGTCTCCTCTAGATAAATGTTATTGCCTGAGAGTGTTTTAATGGATAGAGTACATGAGTAATTCTTTCTCTGAATTAACATAAAAAAATAAGAAGAGCAACTTTGGCTATACATTAAACTTTCTGTATGTATAGAAATATGTACTCTTCTCATTGCGACCTGAGATGATCTGCCAAAATGGTTTCATACTCTCTTGACCCAGAGAACACCACACAATTATGCACATCAAGGCGGTCGAATCTTCAGGTCCACTTTAAGTGGACAGTGAAACTTCCCAGCCCATCAAGGGGAAGCATATCTGGAAAGCCACCACGTATTTGAAAGATGTCACATTGGAGAAGCAGTGTGTTCTCTTCCAACTTAACAAGGGTGGAGTTGGTGGTTGTGCCCAGGTCAAACAAGTGGGTTTGTTCGCAGGGCCCGTGGCCCAAAAGGTGCACTGAATTTTTACTGCACATGCTTACACATGCAGAGAATAGTGCTGAACTTAGGGCTTTTCTATGTGGATTTTCTGGTAATTGAGCCACATCCAGGAGAAAAAAGCCCCCAAGATGCACCACCGTCCGGACTTTCAGAGCTCATGGTTGGATCAGCCCCTACGTGCCTGAGTTCCCCTGTCACATTGAGATGATCCTGACTACAGAGGAGCAAATTGTTCCTAACAGACGAGGAGGTTGCTCAGAGGGAAAAGATATCCCTGAAGACACTGAAGAAGCAAAAACTTACGGCTTGAGAGGAAATTGGGATGAAACTAAACGTTAAAAAAGGTTAAATATATGTATGTTTGTGTATATTATAATATTTTGGCTGAAACAGCAGAACCTCAAAATGACTCCAGTGTTCATTTTAAACATGTATTTGAAAGAAATAATTAACAGAAAGTAGCATTTTATAAGAAAGCTGTTTATTAGCTTTTATTATACAGTAAGTTGTAATAACCAAGAGCAAAGAAAGGTCATGACTTCAAGAATGAACAAATGCCAAAATTTAAAGAACTTGATAGCATTTCATAGTAACTAACCTACAGGTAGGCACGTGGGGGCCTAGATTAGGGTGATGGTGAAAGAAAAATAGGTCACCTGGGTACAAAGGGTACAAAAAATATATTTGTAGTTCATCATTGTTATAAGAGATATTAACTTCGCTAAGAAGTTTATAAGTTTCAGGTAAACGATGAAATTTTATCAATGCTTCTTCCCAGTCTTGGTTACTGTGAGCAGAGGCAGTCACCGTGAACTCTGCCTCCTCTCGGTAAGGAACACGGTACACGGGTAGGCAACGGAGTGTAACGGCTCATAAAACTAACAAACCAGCAACCAAATGGGCAAGAAAACGTCAAGATACTGAGTGTATACTGGACGCATATGCGTCTCAGTCGCTATAATACACGATTAATGCTTGAGAAAATTAGGTGGAGCAGAGCATCACAAACGCAGAATCTTCAGAGTCTTGTCTTCTGGATTCAATATCGTTCTGATTATTAACAAATGTAGCAGCCCTGGAGACACACGAATTAAGTTCACTGCATGATTTGACTACAACATCAAGGCCGAAGGAGAAGCGTTTTCACTTAAATCCACAGTAAATGTAATGCCAAGCCAATAAGAGCTCCCTTCTAGAGGCAGGCTCTCCGATAAAGTCTGCCCAGTGAGGCCAAAGGATCTGTTATATACTAACAGTGTAAGAACAACAACAATAAACCACCTAAAATCACCTGAGTAAAACATAAATGCAATGGTAAAAGATTAGGATTTCCTTTGTGAAAAGGGAAGAGTTATTGGGCTTCAAAGGATATTATTGTTATCTATAAAATTGACCTTAGCAGTAGTCATATGCTGAAACCCCTAACAGAAGATGGAAGTAACACATACAAAATGGTCATGAAGATTATAAACTGAAATATACTGAATTTTTAAACATTTTATAAGAAATTTTCCCTGAGTGCTACATACAGATTGGACAGAAGCCAGAAATCAGTGATGAGAAATAGTACAATTACAATATTCATTCTGCTGGGCCTGACAGATGGTCCTGAGCTTCGGGTTCTGATTTTCATTTTTCTATTTCTCACCTACATGCTGAGTGTCACTGGGAACCTGACCATCAGCACACTCACGTTTGTGGATTCTCACCTGAAAACAACTATGTACTTTTAAAAAGCTTGTCCTTTATAGAAATATCACTCACCTGTGCTTGTATTCCTAGATACTTGTATAATATAACAACAGGTGACAAAGTCATTACCTATAATACCTTGTGGGGTTAAGGGTAAGAGGGAACCCCACAAAACATCACAGGTTTGGTAGGCGCAATTGTACAGCGATAATAAGTAGAGATTATAGTAAAGTCATAGAGAGCATGAGAGCTAAA